GCAGAACGCACCCCAAGGAACCATTGAGGGTTAATATGTAATAATAATAATAATAATGTGATAGCTAAAATAAATTACATTGTTATAACAGATTTATAATTATACACCAATAACCCGCCAAACCACACTAACACACACTGACTCAAGCTGACGACTGATCTCCATGAAACGTATAAAACAATGAGGGAGGAAAAAGATGAATAAATCCCAGCAAACTCTCACCTCGCAGTCTTTCCCCCACTGCCTGTCCTGTCCACTGAGCCTCATCCACCGACTCACTTCCTCTGCACCATTAACCAGCATTTTAACCACCTGCTTTACCTGATTAGCGCAGAACAGCAGGGCTGCTGTTCCCTCCTCCCTAACAAAAGTCTGTCTAATAACTTTTACCTCCTGAGCATTAACAGCCTTTCCTTAACAGCCTCTAACTCAGAGGCAAAACACGCCAAACCCTTATTGTGCCTCCATGTGTATCTACCTTGACTCTGACTGACAGCACATCCTGACAGGATCTGCCACAGCCATACAAGCACACGGGGTATGCAGACATCCCAAGTCTCCCGGAAGTTCCGGGAGTCTCCCGCATATTGATAGCGGCTCCCTGATGCCCGCAAATTGAATAAAATGTCCCGGAAACTAGAGCAAGCACACAAGAGCACGTGCGCGAGACAGTAACGTGTCCATCGCGCACATGAGAAAATCGCGCGCACGACCGAATGAGAGAGAGAGAGAGAGAGAGCGTGCGTATGTATGGATCCCTGCGTGTGTGCCTGTTCATGTAGCCCGTGCTAGACAGACAGCATCCTGATTGGTCTACTTAGCAAAATAAGCCAATCAGATTTCAGTGCGGGCGGGCTTTTATTTATCGGTTCAGTGGAGCCTTCGAAATTTAGTGTGCTGACTAGAAAAAATTAATTAACAAAAAATTATACATATGGCCAATGTAGAAATTCTCTTGTGTGAAATAAAGTCATTTCCCTTCTTGGCGGGGGGGGGGACCTCCCTGAAATGAGTTTTTGCAGGTTGGGATGTCTGGGTATGTTTGACCCTGTGGGAAATGATGATAAACACAAACCCTAGATATAGATGTGCAGGTCTGTCAAACTATCAGGGATACATGAACCAAGGAAGAGAGCAGGCCAGCCTGGGCCCAGCTGACCACAGGGGGGGCTGACAGGGGCGGGGGGAGACTTACGATGTAGCTCCATACGTAGCCCTTGTTCTCTGAGATGATCCGGCGGGAGGAAGCGCAGTGCTTCACTGCAGGGGCACAAAGAGGGGTTCAGACTGTTAGATGACAGAAACAGACCTGGCACTGGAGTGAAGGCGAACGCGTGACCAAAGGTAAATTAATCCTCCTCCATCCTGAATCCATCCAGAAGAGTGGAAACGGAAGTGCGGTCCTGTACTCACCCTGGCAGGACGTGCCGGCCTGGCAGTTACAGTCCTCCTTTATGTGCTTGAGGACCTTCCCCATGGTGGCACAGTGGGGCCTGGAGCACGACCATTGGCTGAATTCCTGCTTCTTGCACTGGCACCGGTCGGCGTGTTGCAGGAGCTCCAGTTGCTCCTGGATCAGCTTGGGCTTCTCCGGGTCAGTCGAGGAGCCCAATGTGGGAAGGGGGGGGCAGAACAGCAATCTCATCAGCAGGGGTCACTGTATGTTTGTTACAGTCACCAAAACAGCCTTCATGCTCTCTATGCTCTGCATTCTGGGCTTGGGCCTGTAAACCTTAAAATTAAGATGTAATGCCAAAACAAATATATAAGAAATAATTTATTTGCCATGAATTAAGTTTATGATATTGAATGAAATGTGTGACCATGCCCCAGTCAGTGAAAGTATGTTCCCTACCCCTAGACTCCAGAGGGTTAAGACACTTTCCAGTGTAATAAAAATGGCACAACAAAAAACCTGACAATCTGCCCAGCTGGCAGCAACTGTAGGGCCGAGTTGACCTATCACCGGTGTGGAAGTAAAGAAAACATCTACTCACTTTTCTTTGTCTAAATTCTTTTCAGCACCAGGTAAGAAGTAAATTTACCCGACACAACTTGAGTATGATAAAATTTCTGGGGTGTGCCCAGAGTTGACAAAGAAACAGAGTATTCCCATTTCTGTTGTATTCCCAAACAACAGAAAGGCTCAGCTCTTATACATTTCTGTGACTCCCCTAAAAGGGAATCTTCTACCCCATTGGTTAAGATGGAAAGTGTGATGACCTCAGAGGTGATGACCTCATGCACCTCCACGTTCCTCTAGGCCCAGGGACAGACAGCCAGTGGCCATCAGCTACATTCCCCCCTTGCCTGCCCTTCACATATTTCTATTTAATCCATTCCATGCAATCAAGCAAATCAGATTAAACACAGCACACATATAAGTCTATATAAGACTATACCCCTGTTTCTCTATTCGGTATTCTGACTGCTCCCCCGTTATCTTCCTCTGCGGCATGATCAGCCTGCATAATACGTCCCATTCTCTCAGCAAGGCAAAGGAGGCTCTGGTTATCTTCACAATCATGCAGTCTCAGCTTCCAGTTTCAGGATCAGCGCAAGACACACACATACACAGTCTTCCTGCTTAAGGTCTAAGACATTGACAGCCCTCCCAGAATGCCCCCCTCCCAGCCCTACTGGAATTTCTCTTCCCCACCCGCTGGCATCAGAAGCGAAGGTGACGTGAGCTCATATGCATACAGTCAGCAGGAATGGTCCAGATACAACATACCACAACAGGCAGTGCGGCAGTGATCTCTTCAAAATGGATATGTCAGACACCACGATGACATACATGGGGTGGGGGGGGTTATAGAAATTCTGGTCCCCCTATGTGTCCCCCACTGAAGAAGCCGCCAAAGGGGGGACCCATAGGGGGGACAGACACAGCTATGCTACACTAGTGGGGGCGCCGAAGAGCCGGTTGCAGTCAGTGGGGCAAGACTCTTTGGGCATCACACCCAGGACCTGGAGTGGGGGGCCTACACGCACATGCCCCAACTCACCATGGTACTCTCCCCTAAGCAGCTGGTCCATGTTGAGCTGGAGCAGCTGTGCCCCCTGCAGGCAGCCTTGAGGCTGCGATGGAGAGTGAGATCGTGTGGAGCGAGTCGGCCGGGACCCCCCCAGAGTGGTTGTGCCTGCTAGTACATTCGCCCCATGTCCATGTGCTACTGGATGGGCCCAGCAGCACAGTGGACACAGGGGCCACTGGAGAGGCCAGACGTGGGGCCGACTGGCAATCACTCTGGACCCTCTGGTTACTTGTCCAACGTGTGAAACCTGCCTGTCCTGCCTCCTGAGCCCCACCCCCATACCCAACTGCCCCCCCCCTGCCGAGGCCCATTGTGAGCTGGCCCACTCCCACCACCCAGGAGCAGCTCCAGAGCACCCTGTGGTGTAATGTAACCTGTTTGCCATTTGACCCGATGATGTCACGAGGGGTGGGGGGTTATGTGCGTTATTGGCATGACCGGGATGTAGGTTAGGAGTTTTTTGCATACGTCTTCGGAGGTGCTCAATAAAGATATTTAACGGAGCTGAAAGCAGTGTTTATTGTGTGGACCCACTACACTACATGGTGTCAGAAGTGAAGCTGCATTGAGCATCAGGCTGGAGGACCGGTGGTGATGGCGCAAAAAGAAAAAGGTCAGGGAAGAGAGAGAGAAAAAAAAAGAGCAGGCGCGCGATCAGACATGGTGGACGATCCGGCGCAGCTGGGTCTAGCGTCGCCGCTGACGGCGACCTTCACAATAAAACCTCTGGAACCGATCGACTTTTTGAAACCGCAGGAATGGGAGAAGTGGATCCAGAGATTCGAGCGCTTCAGACTGGCAAGTAACCTGGCTAATTCCTCTGAAGCCAATCAGGTAAATACATTGGTATACTGCATGGGTGACGAGGCTGACGACGTGCTACGGGGGCTCGATTTAACCGGCGAGAAGCGCCAGCAGTACAATGCAGTTAAGAGAGGGTTTGACACGTACTTTGTCCCAAAGAAAAACGTGATATATGAACGGGCCAAGTTCAATAAGAGGGTGCAGGAAAACTCGGAATCGGTGGACTCATTTATCACGGCTCTTTATGCATTGGCTGAGAATTGTCAATATGGAGCATTACATGATGAACTTCTCAGGGACAGATTAGTGGTGGGTCTTAGGGATTCATCATTGTCGGAGCGGATGCAACTGGATAAAGACCTTACCCTGATGAAAGCCATTACAATGGCAAGACAGTCAGAGGAAATAAAAAGGCAACAGACTGACCTGAGAAGGGAGATAGGTGCAACTAAAATAAAATCGACACAGTGCGGGTTAAGAGAGCACACCAGCACAAGGATAAATTCAAAAAACAGACACAAGGACAACTAAAAGGCACGAGAACTGAGCAGAGCGTGACGGGACATAAAACATGTAGTAAATGTGGTAAATCACCATTTCACCCAGCATATGAGTGTCCTGCTAAGAGCACAGAATGCCACAAATGTGGTAAAAGGGGACATTATGCTAAGGTCTGCAGGTCAAACTGCACCGTGAACGAGGTTGGACATGGATGAGCTGTTTCTCGGAGAGGTGATTTCCGGAGACGATCCATGGATGGCCGACATCAACATAAGAGACCGTGAGGTAACATTTAAAATCGATACTGGGGCCAATGTTACAGCTGTCCCTGAACATGTTTATCAACTAATTACACAAGGTAATAAACAGCTACAAAACACACAGAAAACACTTTACGGGCCGGGCGGTATGAAACTAAACGTTGTGGGGTCAGCTATCGAAATGCTGTCATACAAGGAGAGGAGCACCGCAGAGAAAATCTTTATAGTCAGAAATCTGCAGGTGGCGCTGTTAAGCAGACCAGCTTCAGTGAAACTTCGGCTTGTAGCCAGAATTGACACTATAGACCAAGATAGTGTTAAAAAGGCCTACCCCAAGCTCTGTGAAGGACTTGGGCGTGTTCAAAAGCCCTACACCATTGTCCTTAAGCCTAACGCCAAGCCCTTTTCCCTTAAAGTGCCAAGGAGGGTCCCATTGCCACTCATGGGCAAAGTAAAAAACGAATTGGAGAGGATGGAGAGGCTAGGGGTCATAAGTCGTGTAGAGGCACCAACAGACTGGTGTTGCGGCATGGTGGTGGCCCCGAAAAAAGACAAAGCAGAAGTCCGTATCTGCGTTGATTTGACTCCTTTAAATGAGTCTGTGTGTCGCGAAATGTTCATCCTCCCGTCTGTCGATCAAACCCTCAGCATGCTCGCAGGAGCACGGCACTTCACCAAACTGGATGCGAACATGGGCTTCTGGCAGATACCACTGTCAGAAGAGTCAGCTCTCTATACCACCTTCATTACGCCATTTGGGCGCTACCACTTTAATCGTCTGCCCTTTGGCATTTCCTCTGTTCCAGAACATTTCCAGAATATGATGGTGACTGAGGTTATTGCAGGTCTGGAAGGGGTTGTCTGCCACATGGACGACATTCTCATCTGGGGGTCCACCCAGGAGCAGCACAACGAGAGAGTGCATGCTGTCTTGGAGCAGATCGAAAAGGTGGGAGTCACACTCAACATGTCTAAGTGCGAGTTTGGGAAAAGTGAGGTGAAGTTTCTCGGCTATATTGTCTCTGCAAATGGCATGAGGCCGGATCCAGACAAAACCAGAGCAGTGTTGGACATGAAAGAGCCAACGAATGTGAGCGAGCTTAGGAGCTTCCTCGGAATGGTAAATCAGCTGGGGAAGTTCATACCAAACCTTGCGGAGAAGGATAAGTCTCTAAGAGACTTGCTTTCCAAAAAGAATCTGTGGCATTGGAGTCATGAACAGCAGCAGGCGTTCAGCAGCCTCAAACATGAGCTTTCGTCCGCACCCGTTCTTCAATTATACGACCCTAATAAGCCCCTCAAATTATCAGCTGATGCCTCATCCTATGGGCTGGGGGCAGTGATGCTACAAAAACAGGGTGAGATATGGGCTCCGGTTGCTTATGCCTCCAGGTCACTGACAGCAACAGAGCAGCGCTATGCCCAGCTGGAAAAAGAAGCGCTAGCTCTCACCTGGGCCTGTGAAAGGTTCAGTGACTTTATCCTGGGTGTGCATATCGACCTTGAAACAGATCATAAGCCACTCGTGAGTTTGCTGGGAGGACGGGCTCTGGACTCTTTGCCACCACGGATACAGAGGTTCAGGATGCGCTTGATGAGGTACTCCTATACCATTATACACACACCGGGTAAGAGCCTCACAACAGCCGACACGCTCTCACGCTCCCCACTCTGGAACTGCATTACACACGCAGACACCGACCTGATGGAAGATACTAATATATATGTTGAATGTGTGTTAGACAACCTCCCGTCAAGCGACAGGTACCAAACCAAGCTTCGCGAGCAGTTGTGTGCAGACAGCGTTTGCGCACAGGTCATGAAATTCTGTCTGGAAGGTTAGCCAGACAGGAACCAACTGCAAGGACCAGTCAGGCAGTACTGGCAAGAACGAGCGGTTCTGAGCGTGCATGACGGACTTCTGCTGCGGGGCACAAGGTTAGTTATACCTGCTACCATGAGGAATGATGTATTGGAGAAAA